GCACGCCCATGTGCGGGCCCACGCCACTCCGGCTGGGATCCGGGCCGCCTTTTTTCTTTCTTGATGCAAAACCCTTATCCGTATAAGTTATGGACCAGGGGCTGTGGTGGTACACCTAGGTGTGAGTTTTTAGTCCTGTCAGTCACATGTGCCCTCTCCAGTCTTGGCCGGGCCCAGGTGAGGAAGAAGGAGAGGATGCGGCAGATGCAGGGCAAGTCCGTTATCACTTTTGAGTAACTCATGCCCCACAAATCACCGTCCCTGCTTTCGCTCTGCTATGGAGCGCACGGTAGACATCCTCAGTCATGATGGTCGAACTGTGATGCAGTCAGTTTGATAGTGTTTTAAAACAATGCCTCGCAAACATCTCTGGCCCGCGGCACAGAGCATCAAGATTTCGGAACCAACACCCCCTTCCGTCAAACAGCTCCTCCGCCTTGGGACCCTTTGCTGGCCCTGACTGTTATGTTGGTCAACCGGCCAGTGTCATGCTGTCACAAAAGAGTTCAGCGGTTATCGTGAGTGTACGTACCCTCACCAGTGATCTGCTTCTATGGAAAGATCGGATGGTTTTGGATTCGGCTTGCAGTACATCTGAAATCTGTCAGTGGTGTATCGCAGCACACAGTTCGGTACACTGAAGGAAGGCTGGCAGAGGAAATTTAGGTAAGATCTTATTTCGTTGACACACCTGTTAGGGGTTAGGGTTGGGGGTTAGGGTTAAGGGCTATAGCCCGTAGCTGCATAGCACCGTATCGCGATTTTTTGCTGTTGTTTCCATAGCGACCACATGAACAAATTCCGCTATAAATCGGTCATAGTATCGCGACTTTTCCACAACGTAGCGCCAACGTCTCGCTACTACTAGGGTAGTGTTAGGGGTTAGGGGTTAATGTGGTTGTGGTTATAGGCTAGTGCTAGGGGTTAGGGTTAGGGGTTGGGTTAAGGGTTGGGGTTAATGTTAAACCCCTTTTACCACCGGTTCCGTATGAGGGGCGACTGGGGCTTGTCTACTGCGGCTTGTCTACAAAATAAGATCCGGCTGAAATTTATAATACACCTACGTCTCGTAAATACAGTAAGGGACCTATCTCATGAAATACAAACCGCAGTCCTCAAATACGTTCTCGGTTAGAAAGGATTACTTGGGTGGAGTTGCGATATTTAATTACTGTGCGGTATTGCTCCAAGATATTTCAGTCACGTCAGAATACCGGTTTTTTTTAACGAGGTTCTTACTGGCCGCCTGCAAAACAACATTCGGTAGAGTGGCCGCTTAATCAGTATACCTCTTTTTTTCCGCCGATTTCCAATACACTTATAAATTCACCCATAAAAATATCCCTTCTTGCACTCTTTTGGTAGTAAATCACGCATTCTTCCAATTTCATGCTCGAAGAAAAGGTTTATCTCGGATTAAAAAAGTTGTTGGCTATATCGCAGTTGGTAGCCAAGAATGGAGAAGCGGACGGCGACCTTAACCCTAATCCTAACCTTAACCCTAATCCTAACCCCAAACTTAAACGTTAACCGTTAACCATAACGGCAACCCTAACCCTAACCGAAATCGTAACCGTAACCGTAGTCCTTAGACATAGTCGTAACTGGAAAACCTAACCGTAATACCGAAACCTAATCGTACTCTCAAACCCTAACCGTAACCCAAAAACCTAAGCCTGAATGCGTAACCGTAAACCGAAAGTCGAAAACCATTAACCGGTGTCTTAATCGTAACCTCAAACGTAAAACAGAAGCCAAATGGGTCAGATGTGATTATGGAGCCCCACAAAACAGCTCCAGTAAACAAACCCTCAGCCACCTGTAATACGGGGCCTGGCTACCGACTGCGATCTAGCCAAGGCTATGATATGTGACCCCCCGTGTGGCTGTTCAAAAGTCTACCTTCTTATCCCATTTAGTTAGGTGCAGTTTATAACGGTTTGTCTGGCAGCAGGTCGGGGAAGGGGTTGTGAGGGTTGGCGCCTGGCTATCAACTGCGATCTAACCTGGTTGTTTCTTTTAATTCCGGAGTAATTTTGAACCAGTATATCACTGCACTTCTATTTAGGGTTTCTAGACTGCATGTGCATTGCTACATATTTAGGGAAAAGCATACACTTATCCATGACATTAAGAAGATACCATATAGGGTCCATAAAATTTTGCAGTGGATGTAGACCATGCTGGGGTATTAATAAGCGGAGAAGTATGATGCTATTTTAACGGACGTTTCACGGTCCTTACAAATTCTATTGTCACAAACTTTTTTAAAAGTTAATGTTACCCTTTCAATAAAAAATTGAAGAAGAAGTGATTTATTATCAAATGAATTGGGGAGGATATTTTTCGTGTAAGTTTTGCATTAAACATATCTGCATTTATAAGTGCACAGAGAATCGCAAGGAAAAAGGTGTATTACTTAAGTAGTCAGTAGTGCGGTTTGTGGCGACGACCGGCAGCCTGGCGTGAGTGAAATCGCTTGGAATGGGTCTGTGCGATAGTTCGACTGTCGGTTTCTACGATGTCCACCGCGTGCTCCACAGCAGGGTGGGATCAGGGAACAGTGACTTGTGTGAAAATTTAGCTTATGATGATAGCAGGCTTTCACAGCATCTACCGCACTCTGTTTTTCCCACTCCCCACCTGGATCCGGTGTCAAGACAGAGTCAAGAAGACCGGAGGCGGGGGAGGGCGCAGGTGGATGTTACTGTCGAGCCCGCACCTTGGCGTTCCACTCCACAACCCATGGTCCACACTACAAATAACCCGATTTTTGATGAACAGAACCCGCAACCGGGTCCGCCACCGCACCCCGAAATGTTGGCAAGGCTGATAACTCCAGTCTGGCCCCCGTGTTGTCCCAGCGCATCTACCACGTGGTCGTTTGGGGGGCGGATGCAGTGCGATGATCAATATTACAGTCCCATCTGAGCAATCCTTTCTAATAGAAACAGATTTCGGAATTTCGGTTCACGTATCATTATAAGGGCCACTTACAGAAGAAAAAGAAGAAAAAGACGAGAGGAAAGAGACGCCTCCATCTGCACCGGCGCATTCGCGTCAAGTGCAATTAGGATGACTTTGCACTAACAAAGTGCGACCTATGATGGGGGGGAGGAGGGGGGGGGGGGAGAAGGGGGCGCAAGACTCCTTCATCTGTCTGCCATAAATACTGGTAGACTTATAGACTTATGCAATTCAGACTCGGTTGTGGGACTTATAACACAGATGCAGTTTTTGACAGTGCGTCAGTCTCTGTTTCAGTGTGTTACTTCTGATACCTAAAGTCTCATTCAAAGATATCAGACTGGGAATAAATCCGAACGAAGTACATTTCTTGTCGTTTGCTAGAACTGGCATACAATGTCAATTAACCTGTCAGTCTTCTGTACGCAAGAGTTCCGTCTGAAAATATTACTACCTTACGAGTTAAAAAGAATGTAATGTCGATTGGTTTGCACAGCCTGTTGCAATGAGCGCCGTGGTTCATAAGCAAAACAGCCGTGGGGATTTCCTGAGGTTGACAATCTGAAGTCATCAGTAGGCAACCAATGCAATTTTTCGAGATGAGCCTGAGACGAACTGAAAATGCCGGCCTCTTGAATTCACGCTAGTGTTCCACTCGTCTTAAGAATATAAAGCAGCGGAAACGGCTAGAAAGGCAGTTGACGTGTTTACAGACCTGAAGGGCCAGTGTTATTTTTCCCCCTCGGTTGGTGACTAAAAATACTTTCGCCCTCTGCTAAGAGTTATGAAGTATTTGACTGCATTTTCTGGAAGTTGTTACCGAACCAACTCACTGGCTTGAAAAACTGGTTACCAGCTTGCCAGTTATGGAGAAAAACAGCATTGAAGCTATTAACGTTCCACTTCCTACGAATTAGAAGAAGTTAAGAAACCTTTTTGTTTCCAAACTCATATCCTGCAAGTGAGAGAGACAAATTAACAAGGTATTTGCTTTATTATAAGGCCAAAAGCATACGCACTACGAGAAACATAGCGTCAACAATTCATCATAGCATGCCTTCCTGTGGTTTTATGTTTCTATTTCCTTTACTGTTGGACTTGTACCTGTAGACAGCGAAATTAGTGAACTTAAATCCGTCCGACATGAGCTAGATCCACAGTTAATTGCGCATTAGGTACCAGCCTTACGAATGCAAGAATGCACTTAACCCGGCCACTTGGAATCCATTCCAATAAATCGGACTAGGGACAATGTTTACTACCCTTACGTGAACCCATCTGCACGACTGCACACAGACTTCTCCTGCATCATTAACGAGGTTGAGCAGTTTTCGGTGTAGTGAGGCGCGCTGTCATGTCAAATCTCTCCGTTGCCGAACTAATCTCTCATCAGAGCACGTCAGGTTGCCCAGGCCTCTCGACTCAATGTCAGCCGGCTCGCGGATTTCCACTCTCGACCGAAGACGCACACCGGGTTTTCGAAAGTGAGTGACGGGAAGAGGGGGGAGGAGAACCGACGTTCATCCAGAGTCACTTTTTTGTTGTCCTGATCTGTCTTGTTGAGGGACACCTTCCACCAAATTTACCGACAAAACGGCCTCGTCGATAGAAACGAATGGACGAGTCTCAAGAAGTAGTTCAGAAGAAGAAGAAGAAGAAGAAGAAGAAGAAGAAGAAGAAGAAGAAGAAGAAGAAGAAGAAGAAGAAGAAGAGGTAACAATCGGGAGAGGGCACCCAAAAAATACTGCCGGCCAAAGCAGCGATCTAATCGCAACTGTCCTAAGCTATGCAGCCATTGACTGAGCCGCACATTGGCGACTGCTGTAGCTCCTGACCTCTGGAAGAAATGGTAAAAATTGATAATCCAAGTGCTCGGTCAACGGCGATCGTATTGCAATTGTCCGTAGGTAAGCTA